GTTAAATATTTCTTTTATTATTTTCCCTTTTGATAAATTCTTTATTGCTTTGATTTTCCCAGCAACAATAGAAAATAGTTTTAAATTTAAGTAGGCGTCTAAACTTAAACTCTTGTAGAACTTAACTTTGAGTACTCTTTTTTTTTTAACATAGCCCAAAATATTACGGCCACACACAAGAAGGAAAAAAATATATTCTTACTTTGCTCAAAAAATAGCTGGTTTAATTGAAACTTCAACTATACTTATAAACTTTATTCATGATAAAGCTTATTGAATTGGACTTTTTGCAGGAATTTATTACATCTGCTTCATAAGCTGGTAGTCTTTGTCATAAAGTTGTCTGTGCAAATCCAAAATATGGTCTCGTGTGACACAAAAATCCAGTTCTGCGTCACCACGCTGAATGTGCCAAATAGCAGTCCTCATCATTGTGGATCTTAGTCAATCTTGTCCAGGTCTTCTCCATATGGATCCAGTGTCCTGAAACTGTTTCCACACATTGAAGATGATGGAAGATGTTACATTGAGCTCTGTAGCCACTGTTTGTGATTTGGCCTACCTCCAATCTACCGACAATTCTCCGTCTCATTCCATCATGCATACACTTGTGGCTATTCATTTTAACTTTATAAAATTTACCCAACTCTTGCAAGAAACATGGCAAATATCATGAAGGAACACAAGAACACAAATTGCCAAAAACACCTCGTGTGATTTTACTCCCTAACAATCACAGCTATGTAGACATGCAAGTGTATGCATAATTCTTTGGCAGCATAATTAGTACCTTTGATTCAACACTTTTTGTAAGACATAATTTGCTGATTCTCTTAATTTTGTACAAGTGTGTACATCAGAGCAAGGTAGGTAACTGACAACTGACTTATTATTCGTTTTTAATTTTAGAAATTAAAATATATAATAAAAGCAATGAATAAGAGTGTTGTATATAAATTTACTGTTATTTATCATCTCAAAATGAGATCTCTCCTATCAGGTGCTTTGAGCAGATTGAACACATATATTCCATGATTCTGCCAAATTACCAACACAAATAACAATAACATTTAGTCTGCTCGGATATCAAACCAAAAATTAATAAAATATTATCCTAATAACAGTTATGTTTGGCACCTTTCACTTTTTTTAAACTTAACTTTGTTTAAAAACTTGATGAACCTGTCAAGCAATTCTACCAAGGTAAAATTTTCTGACATTTCAGTCATTTGTTCATGACAAACCACCATTTTATTACTTCATGAGATTTAAATAGAAAATCAAACTATACATATCCAAGATGAGCCTGTCAATCATAAAATCGTATTGTGATCAACTCTTAAAAACATACCATTCTTGCAGACTTCTATTAAATCCAAAATTGGCTAATCTTTGAAATATGGTAACAGGTAGTTTGGCGACATTTTGGAGGCAATAAAGGTTACTACCTAGGACTTTGGGAATAATGTGAGAAGTACTCAGTTTCGATTATGCATTATTTTGTGTGAGGGAAATGAGAGATCATGAGATATGTCATGTGACATTAATGGACGAATTACAGTTCTTTAATCGGAAAAGGGGGGGAAATCTGGAAAATATCTGGAAATTTTGTATTTAGCTTTATTCTGTATTGTGTAAAACAGTGTTGGTTAATTTTTGGATCACATGGCCTATCTAAAGTGAATTCGAAATGGGTATTTAGTGGGATTGAAAGGGGTAGTAATAAGTGTTTTTTTAAGGTTGTGCGAGATAGAAGTAAAGATTGCAATTAAGTTTCATTAAGTCTGGAGGACGAAGGTTTTCAACATCTTGCTGTGAACTATAAGTATGATTTTAAAGATCCTGAAACAGGCGCACATACGATTGCTTTTTATTTAGCGGAGGAAATAAGAAAAGTTTATCTTTAAAAGTTATCTTATTTATATTTTATAAAGTTTATCTTTATTTAATCAAGATTCTGAAGAAGATTAGGTAAGTTAGTACTTTTAATTATTTGAGGATATTATTTTTATGCATTGTTCTAAATGTAAGGAGTAAATAAAGTAATATGGTATTATTGGAAAATTGTTATTAGCAATGATTTAGTTTAAAGTAATTAGGATTTAGTTTAAAGTAAAGTATAATTAGGATTTAGTTTAAAGTAAGCTAATTTTTATTAATTTAACGTATGTGCTTATTTTAAGTAGTGTTTTTTAATTTAATTATATTTTAATTAAATGATAGTTATTTTGTGAATTATATGTTTGTAGGAATTTGGTATGCGTTTCAGTGGAAGTAAACATGCATGGCAATAATTTAAGTATTTGCAACTATTTTTAATGTTTGCATTATGAATTTGTTGGTGACGTTTATAATAGATAATTTAGAGGTAAAAGTTTTTGGATATTTTTATTTATTTTATACGTGCAAATGTTCATCTTTGGAAAGGGTATATGCAAGCTGAAGGTATAAAAGCTTGCATAGTATACATACTTTTTTGCGATCAGGTAATTTCATATATGTCCTTTTTACCGGATTTAAAGATTCACAAAATTTTCATGCATTTTCGTGAAATTTTTCTAATTTATGAGAAAAAAGCAGTGTACATGGATACAGTGAAGAGTGTGCGCAATGCCATTTTTGTGCAATTCTGGGACGTTTTTTTAAGTAAAAATACGTCGACGTGTACATGGTTTAGTTATACTATTTTAATTAAATAATAGTTATTTTGTGAATTTTATGTTTGTAGGAATTTGGTATACGTTTCAGTTGAAGTAAACGTGCATGGAAATAATTTAAATATTTGACACTAAGTATTTGTAACCATTTTTAATGTTTGCGGTATGAATTCGTTGGTGACGTTTATAATATAATAGATAATTTAGAGGTAAAAGTTTTTGGATATTTTATTTATTTTATACGTGGAAATGTTCATCCTTGGAAAAGGGTATATACTTTTTTTCGCGATCAGGTAATTTCATATATGTGCTTTTTACCGAGTTTAAAGATTCACAAAATTTTCCTGCATTTCCGTGCAAATTTTTGTAATTTATGAGAAAATAGCAGTGTAGATGGATAAAGTTAAGAGTGTGTGCAATGCCATTTTTGTGCAATTCTGGGGATTTTTTTTTAACTAAAAATAAGTCGACGTGTACATGGTTTATGTGTATGTGCGATTTTGAAAAACGATTGTACATGGTTTATGTGTATGTGCGATTTTACGATTCTGCACTTTTTCCCAATTTTGCAGTTAATATTTGTCATGATTAAGCAGTTTTGTTCCATAAAATTTCCAGCATAACTGTAATTCGGATAGCAGATTGTTGGAAAAAGTGTTCAGTAAATAAAAAGAAAAGAAACATGTCTTTACTTCGTGAAGACAAAATGGCGGTGAAAAAAAAATAGAGGGTTGCTGTAGCAGAGTTGGTCGCCAAATTTTCGCCAAAAAATCGTCAAGTTACCATAATCCAAAGATTAACCCCAAAATTATTTAAATAGAATTTTGGATTAATCTTCGATAAGATTGAAATCTAAATCACTGTGTCACACAAACACAAGTCTTCACAAGTTCACTGTCAAATAGAAAAGTGACATAATCACTGATCTAACTGATGTTATTTCGGAATTATTTAGTTATAAATATGATGCCATATATTAACTTTTTGCATGTAAATTATCAGTTGGGAATGTCAAAATTATTATTTAAATGAATTACTTTTGATAATTTACATAAATTTTGCTGTTGTTATTATTATTATTTGAATGTAATTGATTTTATGTTGATTCATTTGAGCCAAGAACTAACATCTGTTATTGCTTAATCCATTTATTTTAACCAGATATTTTTGTAAATTTCCAATTTTATTTAAATCTGATATAAAATCAAAAATATAAGAAATAATTATATTAAAAATTCAAAATAATTACCTGATGGCACAAGGTTAGACTTGTGAACAAACATACAAACCAAACTTAATAACAAAAGAACACACAGGAAATGGATAGTAGTAAAATTCTAAATGAATTTGGGAGGAAAAAAAAATTCTGCATGCAAATTTTTTACTAAGGTTAGGTATAAAAGATTTGTAATTTTGAATGATACACACATTCTTTTCATATAAATGAAAATGTTTCTAGTTCTAAAAACCTCTTAGTAGCCAAAAAGTTAAAAATTACTGAATACTGTTAGTTTTGGTGGACGTTATTTCAACTACATAAGTTCCTTAAATGGATTTTCCTCAATTTTTTTCCCTTTCATTCTTCATGTGTTTCATACATAACAGATCAAAGAATACTGCAGATTAAAATAAAGCTTTGTAAATATGCACTCTTCTTTCATGCAAAAGGTAATATTAACATTATTGCATTTCTTATAATTTTTGCCATTCAATTACTAAATTCATAACGTATTCTTGTTAACTACTTAACATATCTGTCATTACTTAAATCAATCATATAAAAAAACAATGCATTTTACTTCACGAATGAAAGGGAAAAATAAAATACAGAATTTCAACACTATCTTTAATTAATTTTATTAGAATACAAATGAATCCTTTAAATTGAAATATTCAGCACGCAATTTGTGCTTTGCACTAAAATCGCAACGTTTATTTTTAAAATATTACTTTCGTTTCCTAAATAATTTCATTTTCTGAAAATCGAATATTATTTAAGAAAGAACAATCATAGCTTAAATTCTTCTGTGAAATGTGAATGGCAAGTCATTTTAAATTGCTATTTAAGTTTGGTAGGAATAGAACACCTCAAACACTTGATATGAAAAGCAATATTTAAATAGCATTTATATGATGAAATATGTGCCTTGAATGCATACATAGCAAATTACACAAATATATATGTAGCATTTAAAGTTTTATATTTAAAAAATGGGTATTAAGCCTAATGCAAACAGAAAATTAGGCTGCATTAGTTTCTCACAGAAAACTAAAGATATTTATATCATGAAAATAAAAGTATAATTTGTGCAGAACACCATGAACTTCAATTTAATATCTTACTTTGTTTTGTTGTCGATTATGAAATCATCATTTCCGCATGCGGGAAAGACACTATTCCTTCAATGATCACGTGATCCATCACGTAAGATTGATTTATAGCAGAGATACCAGATGGCAGCACAGGATCAAGCAGAAGATCTAAAAGGGAAAGTAAATATTGAATTCCATCTTTTATTTATGTGTTTTGTATTTTTAATGTATGTTATATCTTATGATATCTGATTTAGATAATAAAACTTTTCTCAGACTTATTCTCATGTCTTAACCACCCACTTATCATGATACAACACTACCAGACACCCACTCGTCTTCAGCCTCTCCATGCGCGCTGCTTTCTTGGTTTTCTTCTCTTCTTGTGACGCTGGTTACTTTCCTTTTCCTATTTCCGACGCTTCCTCGCCGCCTGTCCGGACTGCTCAACGTCTTGTGCCCTGTTGGATACTTGGTCATAGAGCCGGCAACGTCGCGTGCTTTACAGCGACAGCCCGGCATAAGAGTATCAAAAAAAAATTCCATCTTTTCTATTACTTATTATTATAGGTTCTCAGCTCGTAGCGTTTATCGCTATACTCAAAAGTTTATCATTAATCTTTAATCAATTTCTCTGGTTGATAATTTAAGCATGAGAATGTGGTGAAGCTATTTTTCCTTTACGGTCTTCTCCCCCCCCAAAAAAAAATTCGATTTTCCCCCTCTCTGTTGAAACAATTTTTTACATGTATCTTTATTTAGAGAACAAACTAAGAATCTTACCATTTTCTGGTTTGTACCATCGGATAGAACAGAAAATAGTCCTTCAAATGGAATGTTTCAAATTTTTAATATAAATTCTGTTTTCGCGAATTTTCGAAAATCGCTCTTTTTTTTTTTTTTTTTTTTTTGACTGCTTGACGTTTATTATTTTAAAATTTCAACATCTAAAAATGTGTCGCCTAAAAAATATTAAAATTTTCAGATTACGAAATAAACGCTTTGCCTTCTTTTAAAACAAGAAATTACATCAGTGATTTTCTACATTAATATACATTTCTTATGAAGCAGAATAAGAAATATTCATTCTTCCTTCGGGCGCTTTGCTTGGATATAGGGTTCAAGATTATGATCACATTATTTTTCTTGTCTCTGTACAGATTTGTCCAAACATGATTTTATTTGTTTATTATTAATATCACCTCCCTTGGAGTAAAGAAATTAAGCTCAGTATAGAAATCTTCGGTGCAGAAAGTATCAATATCAGTATAAAGAATTATATAAATGCTCCCCGCCCTCCTTTTTAAAACTGCATTTTTTATTTAGAATTAATTTGATTTTTCAAAAACAACGAAGTTTAACGATTCATTAGTGTTTTGAATTAATCTGCAATGAAAGCTACCGTGAAATTTTAAATTTTTTTCACTTTATATACAGTGTTCCCAGGGCTTAATTTCTAGGTGCCGAAGCCCTATGGAAGACTGTGAGGAACGAAAGAAAAAATAAATAAATAAAATAGCTAAAATTTTAAAATAATTAAATTTAAATTAAGAGTAATGTAAAAAGATAAAGAGAAATCTAATAAATTATTAAATTAACTTTAAATAGTTAAGTGGGAAAAAATATCGAACCTTGTTTTATTTGGGACATTGGCTGGAATTATAATTCCATTAGATGCTAGGAATCAGCTCAGCCGATCTCCATCTGAATTTAAGCCAGCCCTGATTGTACGCATAATGTACTATTCCAAGGGATGACAGGTAACTTTTTTTTTTTTTTTTTTTTTTTTTTTTGGCAGCACACCAAGGAAAAAAGATAAAACGATTAAAGTTCCACTAAGGAGAATAGTGAGAATTTTAGAAACACTATGAGGATATGAAGGGAAATGTTAACGGAAATGTGTAGCTTGAAAATAAAAAAGGATTTATTCGGCGTGTTATTGTGTCTTAAAAACGGGATGAGTTTAAGACTTTCCGATCGCGATGTCCTGTTGATATAATTATAGCCGTCAAGCAAAAATTTTCCCTAAATACGACTCAGTAACAACGTGAGAATAAATGTAAGACTTCTCTATGCAAGTGAGAATAGATGATCCTCCCGTCTGGTTATATTATTCAGATATTCTACAGGAGCTCTGCAAATGGGAAGTCACTAGCGTGGAACGTGCACGACCAGGGTATCACTTTTTGTACTTTGAGGAACACAAAATTTGCCCGCTCGTATAAATTCATTCCACATCCTGGAGAAAAAGGCCTTTGACATATGATTGGGAGGGGGGGTTCTTTCCTTAGAAGTGTTAACCTTTGTGCAAGATTCGAGTGCGAGGGATAGATACGCCTAAGTTAGAATTGATTTTTAAGGAATGTTTACTATTAAAACAAAATTTATTAGCTAAAATTGTGGCTCACTTACATTAAAGAAGTGCCGGAGCCCTTTTATTTAGGGCTCCAATGCACTCCGGCTGAAATTATAATTTATCTCGAAAACTGAGAAGTACCGGAACGGGGCCCCGGTGTGCTCCGGCGCAATTTAAGCTCTGAGAGGCCCCAAAAAATGATCGGCCACTATAATTTTCTTACTTTTTTAAGTAATAGAAGAAAAACTTTCAAATAAAATAATAAAGAATATTTTCCCTTTGAGTACATAGTTTCTTAGCTCTCTCTTTGTATTAAATAAATTTGAAAAAATTAAATGGAAAATTTTTAAAATAATGTTTTAGGCTAAAATGGGGGGAAAAAAAGGTAAAAAAAAATCTGAAAGGTTTCAGATTTTAAATTACGTCCAAAGGGGCGTTTTTTTTAACATTTTGTGTGTTACCTTTATTTATTAAATGTCATGTTCCTTCCACTTAAACCATAAAATTCAGTTCAAGAGCAATATCGCAGCACAATTTTAAAAATGAGTGTATCAGAATTTCCGATACACAGTCTAGCGCCCTGGAGATAAAGATGTTTTTTCTGTGTAACGTTGCCATTGCTCGCTTTGAAATCCTTGAGTTTGTTAATCAAAAATTCATTAAAGTTTTACAAAATATAAAATCGATAATAAAACAAATTCCAAATTTCAAATTTGGGCTTGCAGGTGACTATATTCGCAGGAGGATTACGTTATTAAAAATTTGATGGCACTAGGTACCGTTGTTTTATCACAATGCGAGAAATACATACATGCACATTTATGCCGATTCTTCATTATTTAATTTCTTTAAATATAATACAGGGCTATAATATTTGGTAGCAACAATTTGAAACGTGAAATAACGCTTGTAGTGAATCAACGCAAAATTCCAAAGCGAAAATAATAATCCTTCTGGGGGCAAATTACTCCTTTGGACTAAAAAAGATATCACAAAATTAAATGGACATTTTCATAATTTCTCATTAAAATCTTCTGCAATAAAAAAAAAAAAAAAAAAACGAAATTTTATGGCATTAGTTTGGAAAAAGAAGCTAAGCAAAAGTCTAGCTTCTTTTTCCAAACGAATATTTCGAATTTTCTTTTTAGAAAATATTTGTTATTTTAATGTTTTCTTACAAATGCTCGGTCATGAATTTAAACATCTTTAGAAACCCGCAGATTAGTTATTTGTTTGCATCAAAAGAAAGGGAAATCTATTAAAAAAATTGCCTGTTTACTTATTTTAACTAATTCTACAGTTTTTGATATTATTAAAAGTGTTGTAAGAAACAAAATCGTATTCAAAAGAAAAGAAGACCTGGAAGACCATTTAATTTATCTGATGGAATGAAACGCTTTATTCTAAGGAATAGCAAAAAGAATCCAAGACTGACTAGTCCTAAACTTGTTGCAGAACTTCAGGAATTATATGGTATATGTGTAAATCCAGACGCTGTAAGAAGAGTAATACGATCTGCAGAGTATCATGGGCGAGTACTAAGAAAAAAATTTTATATCAGTAAAAAAAAAAAAAAAAAAAAAAAAAAAAAAAAAAAAATTCGATTGGTTTTCACAAATTGATGAAACAAAAGACACCTGACTCCTGGAAAAAAAAAAATTTCCTTGCTGATAAAAGAAAATTCAACATCATACAGAGTTTATAGATTGTATTATGGATCAGGACATCTTGAAGAGAAACTTGGCATCTTCAGCACAAAAGCTTAATATACAAAATAATTTTAAATTCTACCAAGACAATGATCCAAAGCATACTGCGCACAGCGTTAGACTCTGGCTGTTGTAAGTGTTGAGAAGTAATTAAGGTATCAGCCTAGTCACCGGATCTTAATTCTATCGAATGAATATATTGGGCAAGAAATAGAATCGAAAATTCGAAAACTAAATATATCTTTGCGACAGCAACTGAAAGCAGTTATTCAAGAAGAAAGCCATAAAATAAGTCCGAAACTAACCCCCCCCTAAAAAAAAAGAACTTATGCCCAAAAAATTAAATGAAGTGATCAAGAGTAAAGGTAATCCCACAAGCTATTATTAAGAAACAAAAACAATGTAGTTTTGTCTTTTGGCTATTACTAAAAGTGTCCGATTATTTTTGTGAGAATATATTTTAACATTTAACAAACGATATTGATTTTTGAATTTAATTTTCATCTTTTCAAAAATGCATTTACTATAAAAATGTTAAATTTATATATAATCAAAATAAATGCCTTTTTGTTTTAATTTGTTTTAGTTTTTATGTTCATTAAAGAATACAAAAATTCAAAGTGTCTCAGCATTTTTGTGAGCCACTGTATAGATTCTTCAGTATTTCATGTTAAAAGCTAATTTTCTTAGTTTTTCCGTCGTACGTGTAATATTATATTCTTCTATTGCACTTTAAAATTTTAACATCCAAAAGTGTACCTGTTATGAAAGTTTGAAATTTTCGAACATTACAGAATAAACTCATCACGTTATTTTACAAAATAATAATAATAATAATTAAAAAACTACAAAAAATAAAAATCTGAAAGATAACAAATTTCCACGGCCGCTCAAAAAGGTTGTAGAGACATTAGTTCTTTTTTTTTTTAAAGCAGGAGGCATGAAAAATGAGCAATGCTCTCGACAGGACTTCGAACCTCGGACCTCTTGAATACGCACCGAGTGTACTCGCCGCTACACCACGAAGGCATGTTAAGAGGGCAGGAGAAATACCTTATATACTCTCTCTTTTAAAGGGCGATTGGGGATTAGGGGACCAAATCTTGGTGGTGGAGAATCATCATCCACCCCCTTTTTTAGTTCAGGCGCCACTGTAGAAACATTATTTTATTATTATTATTATTATTATTTTAAAGCAGGAGACATGAAAAATGATCAATGCCTTTGCCGGGACTTGGACCTCTCGAATACACGCCTAGCGTGTTGACCATTACACCATGAAGGCGGGAGAAATATTTTATAGAGTTCGTTCGTTGAGTTTTTTTTAATCTCTTGCAGAGCT